TTTCATGGCAATGTGAGAGTTCACTATGCTCTTTGTATATCCTGCATTCCTACTCAAATACGAAGGTGGTGGAAACTAATTAGGCTTACCTGATTTTATGGCCCTTGAATCTTTCAAACTTCCATTACCAAACTAATCTATCATTGTGAATAATTGTATGATTTTAGGCTGCTAAGTTCTAGCTAAGCTTTAGGACCCTTTTACTGATTATAGAACTTAAAGAAATTGACATGTATTCAATATTTTCACCGAGTAATCGTATTATTGTTCAAAGATCCTTTTACTTATTCTTCAAAAATCCTCTTGTTCCTTTCTATCGATATTGCCCAACACAAACGCAATTTAACAGCATTTCAAATCTTCGTTTCCTTATTGTAGTTAGATAATAGGAGTACATATCTGCTTAGGGTTACGTAGTTCTGGCCCAAATTACTACACTCAAGAGGAAAAAATATAAGTAATAGTATAAACAAACTACAATAAATTTGAGGTAGCAAACAACAGAAACAAATAATTCCGTACAGTTTCTTAAGGTAAGGTAGTTTTGCCATCAAGATCCTGCCCTGAAAAATCTCTGCATGATAAGGATAAGAAAACGCGTGCGTGTCAAAATATTGAACTAATGCTCTGAGACAAGAGTCGTGAACAAAGAAACGCTAGAAAAACCAAAAGAGAGTTGAAAATCAGAGGCAAAAACTAGGAGGGGAAGAAAAAAGGATGGTTGAAATAAAGCAAAGTAGACCTCATACATGCCAGCTTGTTTCAGTCAGACATCAACATCAGGGTCATAATCTTCTTGTTTTAATTACATGCCACGTTACAACATCATAAGTGAAATCATGGCCGGCCACTTATTATTTCCTTTTGATACGGTGTGGCTCCCACTTTATTTACAAGAAATGAAATTCAAACCATGGTGGGTACACGCGCACACACCCACTTTATTTATTAAAGCATTGACAAATGTATTAATGACATGCATTTAACTGGAAATCAGCCATGAATTTTTGACATGGACTACGTATCTGCTTAGGGTTACGTAGTTACCAAATGGAGTACATATCTGCTTCTTCCTTTTCTTTTCTTTTTTTTCTTCCTGATTTTCTTCTTTGGGAATTTTCTTTTAAATTAATTGCTAAATGTACATCTAGAATTTCTTTTAAGAGATCATGCTGAGACAGGGGCGCAAGTGCAATCTGTCATTGGGAATTGGCGTCGATGTCATACTTGTTCGACAGGGGAATGGATTAACCAAGTAGCCAGACAGACGGGAATCAGAATCTTCTTCGCGTATGAGGCAGTTGTAGATGGTTGCTTTATTTAGGCGTATGATGCTAGATGATGATGATGCTGATTCAGGAGATTAATGTTTTTATTTATATCTGAGTTAGGAGATTAGTATTTTTATTTGGGTATGTTTCTATTATTTTGTGTTTTGCTAATTTTAAAAACTTATCAACTTATATTTTATTTTGTGTTATGAAAAAACTAAACTATGTGTTTCTCTATGTTGTGGGCACTAAGTTTCGACTGTCCAGTTACTATATAGCACTTTTTTTTTAATAAAAAAAAAATGGGTCTAATAACTTATTGCAATATTAAAAATCAGTAAACTCATAAAAAAATCGGTAAAACAATTAAAAAATTATTTTTAGCAGCGACAAAAGTCGTCACTAAATAATAAAATAAGTAAACTCATCAAAAAATTTAGTAAAATATTAAAAAACATTTTTAGCGACGACAAAAGTTGTTGCTAAATCACAGACGCAATTTAATTAGCGATAACATTAATTTTAAAATGTCGTCGCTAAAACTTAAGGTGACGTCATGATGACGTTAATAACGGTCAACCATATTTTGTGTTAGCGATGACATTAGTTGTCGCTAAAACATACTATGTTTAACAATGACAAATAGTCGCCGTTGAAAACTTTTAGTTACGAAATATTAGCGACGACAATTGTCATCGGCAAAGTCGTCTCTAAAAACGTTTATCGACGACTTTTATTTTTTTATTAGCGACGACAAATAGTTATTTTCTTGTAGTGATACTCCATCCCAAACAAAGAAATCATTTCAACTCAGCTTTAGTGAGGGAAGCTAGATGATGAAAAATATGAACGAAAGATAATTGCTGAAAAATCTTGAAATAGAGTTAGATAGGTGAAAAATCTAAAACTGATCTATATTTTTCTTTATTTTATGATAACCACGGTAGAAACATAACCATTAAATACTCGTTCATTCATATTATTGTATAAATCGATCAACACACATTTATAACACTTCAAACAATACTCAGTCAACCTAATCATTGTTTTGTTCTTTTTTTAATATTTTTTTTTAAGTTTGTGGTGTACCACAAATATAGGCCAGATCAATACAGACGGTGGCGTAGAAATGCCGTATGCATATATTCATATAGTTGTACATATCGACACGCATTGTTTTGTTCTTCTTCTTTTTTTTTTTTCTTTTTCTTTTGTGCGGTCTTTAGCCGGGTCAACCTTATCATTGCACATTGCTTCGCCATGAATAGGTTGATCTGATCAACCTTGACTTAATTCATATGCACTTTTAATCTAATTAGATTGATTCAATGGGGCATTTAATAATCACCTATATTATTCAAAGCAACGAACGTTTCTTTGCAGCATCTGCCATATATTTTTAAAGCCAACGTACGCTGCAGTTTGTTCCAACGTAGCTGTCAAATAGATAATAAGAATAAGAATAAAATCTTCAGTTTACTCCGCGGCTCAAATATGAAATGAGGAAACGAGGAAGAGCGAAGATGGAGAGATGGCTGGAGTTAGAGAGAGAAAGAAAGAGAGAAGTTATGAGAGAAAATGAGAGAGAAGGGGCGTTGAAATCTGGGTTTAAAAATTTGCGTGTGCCGTGCTATCACGTTTGATGGTAGCGACGACCTCTTCTATTGTGGAGATGATCTCCCTCTGTATCCAACTGACACAAGTTACAGCTCAAATCAGTACTGAACCACAAATATAGGCCAGATGGAGGATAATTGAAATCCTAAAGGGAGTTGACCTACTGTAGAAACACCATATGCATATTCATATAGTTGTATACATCGACACGCATTTATAACAATTCACAACAACACTCAGTCAACCAATCATTGTTTCTTCTTTTCTTTTTTTTTTTGTGGTGTATAGCCGGGTCAACTTTATCAAAGTAGATTAATGCTTCGTCATAAGTATGTAGAATTTTTATTCCTTTTAGAATGATTCAGTGGGGCATTTAATAATCACCCACATTATTCAAACCAACAAACGTTTCTTTGCAGCATTTTGTTCCAACGTAGTTGTGAAATAGATAATAAAAATAAAAATAAAAATAAAATATTCAGGCTAACATACGCTTGCAACTACTCCAACGTAGTTGTCAAATAAAAATAAAATCTTCCGTTTATTCTGCGGCTCAAATATGAAATACTCTTTCCGCAACCTCTTTCAGACTTCAATCTCTCATGCCTCTCTCCCATCTATCGCTTAAACTTAAAAACAAAAAACAAAAAAAGGGAAAAGAAAAACTACAAGTTTGATGACCGGCGACTCAAATTTATATAAATCTTTTGCGTATTATTAAGTAATAGCGAAAATTCCAAGCTGAAATTATAAACTTAAATACTTTAAATAAAAAAAGAAAGTCAATCCACATTATTCAAACCAACAAACGTTTCTTTGCAGCATTTTGTTCCAACGTAGTTGTGAAATAGATAATAAAAATAAAAATAAAAATAAAATATTCAGGCTAACATACGCTTGCAACTACTCCAACGTAGTTGTCAAATAAAAATAAAATCTTCCGTTTATTCTGCGGCTCAAATATGAAATACTCTTTCCGCAACCTCTTTCAGACTTCAATCTCTCATGCCTCGTTCCCATCTATCGCTTAAACTTAAAAACAAAAAACAAAAAAAGGGAAGAAAAAAACTACAAGTTTGATGGCCGGCGACTCAAATTTATATAAATCTTTTGCGTATTATTAAGTAATAGCGAAAATTCCAAGCTGAAATTATAAACTTAAATACTTTAAATAAAAAAAGAAAGTCAATTTAATTATTTATGTCTATTAAAGAGCTAGAAGGATGAAATGGAATTATTAGGCGCGTTTGGATCTCGTTCTAAAATGATTTTATTTTTTGTATGAAAACGAAAATGAAAACATTTTCAATCTCAGACAGAAATCATTTTTAAAAATGTGTTTGGTAGTTTTATCAAGAGATTGTTTTTAGTATAAAAAAACTTATTAATGTCTCTCTCTCTCTCTACTCGAGAGAGGAGAAAATGAAAATAAAAAATAAAAAATAACTGAAAGTCGTTTTTCATTTCTCTCTCATTTTACACTAAACTAAAAAATTATTTTTATTTTTATTTTTTGTCTTTATTGTGCCAAACTTCATTTTGGAAACATTTTCATTTTTTCTTTCTCAAAAAATGTGAAAAATAAAAATGGGATCAATTCCAAACACGTCTATTATTTGCTTGATTAAAAAAATGGAACACAAATTTATTATATGTTTTCTATTATCTGTTGTTGGCAACGTTAAGTTGAACAAACGCATGTTGTTGATGTTAAATAATCAATCAACGTTCAATCCACTTGTTAAGTGCCGTATAGAAGTGCGGAAATAGTTGATTTTACATGATTAGAATTTCGTTGACTTTATATGTTTAGTTGAATAAATATTTTTCTAAAAAAAAAAAAATTTGAATCAAGATTCAATCCACTTGTTCATTAAGTGGCAAAATAGTTGTCGCTCGTGAAAATGTCAACTGTTACGATGGAATTCATGAAAATGTCAAATGTTACGATGGAAAACATGAAAATGTCAAATGTTACGATGAAATTCATGAAAATGTCAAATGTTTTGATGGAATTCTTTCCTTTTTTTTTAATACCCAATGGAATCATCATGTTGCTATAAATTAAGGTGGTAATCTGTATCCTTCAACTCACAAAGCAATAACAATTCATTCTCACTTGAAGAAAAATGAAGTCCTCTTTCGTGTTTGCTAAAATTATCATCTTTCTTTTCTCATTTGTTCTGCTAGCTTCGGCTAATCACACTGATCATGAAGAGTTTCTTCAGTGCCTGAGCTCTCGTATACCCAAGTCCATTATCTACGCTTCAAATAACCCCTCGTATTCAAATGTATTAGATTCAACGACTCAAAATCCTCGTTTTCTTTCATCTTCGACCAGAAATCCATCTGTTATCGTCACACCATTTAATGTCTCCCACATACAAGCCACCATTTACTGCTCCAAGAAGCATGGCGTGCAAATAAGAATTCGAAGTGGTGGGCATGATTATGAAGGCCTTTCTTATCAGTCCAGTGTCCCATTTTTCATACTTGACTTGAGAAACATAAATTCCATTCAAGTTGATGCGGAGAGGAAGAGTGCATGGGTTGAGGCAGGTGCGACGCTCGGTGAACTTTACTACAGGATCGCTGAAAAAAGCAAAACGCTTGGCTTCCCTGGCGGTCTTTGCAGCACCGTTGGTGTCGGTGGACAGTTAGGCGGAGGAGGCTATGGCTACCAATCGCGAACATATGGGCTCGCATCTGATAATATTATTGATGCGCAATTAATCGACGCTCGAGGAAGAATTCTCAATCGGAAATCCATGGGGGAGGACTTGTTTTGGGCCATTCGCGGTGGTGGAGCAGGAAGCTTCGGAATTGTAATTGCCTGGAAGGTTCAACTCATTGACGTGCCTTCGACAGTGACTGTCTTTGAAACTGCACGAATGTGGGAAGATAATGTAACAAAGAAGTTTGTTCATCGTTATCAACGTCGTGCTTCCAACATCGATAAGGATCTAACCATCTTCTTGGGATTCCGAACCACAAATACTAGCGATGAACAAGGGAATACAAAGATTGCAATAATAGTTGTCATCTCAGCCACATTCCATGGCAGCCGGGATAGGCTCCTTCCACTGATGCAAAAGGAGTTTCCCGAGTTGGGTTTGAGCAAAGAAGATTTCAATGAAATGTCATGGGTCCGATCTATTGTCCATTACAATAATTATAGAAACAATGATCCATTGGAAGTTCTACTCAATAAAACAGTCAATTTCGAACCCAACCCTTTCAAATTGAGATCTGACTATGTGAAAAAGCCTATTCCAGATGACGTGTTAGAAAAGTTGCTGGTTCGGTTGTACGAAGAAGACGTAGGATACGATTTTGTGGAATTTTTTCCATATGGAGGAAAATTGAGCGAGATTTCAGAATCTGAAATCCCATTCCCACATCGAGCTGGAAACCTCTACAACCTTCGGTACATGGCTTCATGGAAACAAGGCGAAAATACTACAAGAATCAACAAGCATCTTAGGTGGGTAAGAAGTGCTTACGATTCCATGACTCCCTATGTGTCAAAAAATCCAAGGAGTGCATATCTCAACTTTAGAGACCTTGACATCGGGGTCAATCCTAATGAGAGTGACACAACAAGTACGTATAACTATATTAAACAAGCAAGCATTTGGGGTACTAAGTATTTTAAGAACAATTTCTACAGGCTAGTTTATGTAAAAACTTTAGTTGATCCAACTAATTTCTTTACGTACGAACAAAGCATCCCACCCATTCTTCACCATTAAAAAGGCGATTGGAAATGCTTGTTGTATTGCCTTAAAATTGTTGTCTTTAGCTTTCTTACTTTGTCCCTTTTGAATAAAAGTCGTCTTGTAACTATTTATTTATGAAGTTTCCAAATGAAAATAAAACTCCTTTTCTGTGCTTTGTTATTTCCTCACGAATTTGAGTATGCTATTTATTGTCTATTAGAGAAATAATTTTATGATACAGACAAATAAGTTCTAATTAATTCTTATACTTTATTAAAAGCTTAAAAGATATAGAGTTACAAAGAGGTAGTATAATAATTTTAACACGTTATAACTAATGAATAATACTTTATTTGTCATTCGAAGAATATAGCATAAAAAAGGTAATTGATATGCACGACATTTTGCTACATGAGATTCATCTACATCATTGGTAAAAAAAGGTACTATGTGAGCTTTTAGACTAAATCAAAATGGTATAATGGTGATTTTATCACATAACATAAACATTATTATTTAATTTGACTACTTATTCTTAAGCATTAAGTAAGAGAAAACAGTAGATACACTAACAAAACTCACTATGCATTATTTTTCTTAACACAAACCGCATCGCTTATTTTGATAGGGCGAGCTTTGAGGGTTCAGAAGTCACCTTTAGAACGTAATACAAACATAATTTAATTTGACCACTTTTTTTAAGCCCCTAAGTAATACAAAAGGTGAAAGGTATAAATGCATAAAAAAAATTAAATCACATTTTCTTAAGCTCAAAGTAAGAAAAAATAATAGATAGCAAGCAAGTAAAAAATACAAAAGAAGAAGAGCATAAATAGAAACAAAAACAAAACTATTTTTTCTTATACTGTAAGTAAAAGAAAATAATAGATAACAAGTAAAAATTACAAATAATGAAAGGCATAAATCGAAACACAAATTAAATCACTTTTTAAGCTCTAAATAAGAGAAAGAAGTAGATAACAAGTAAATAAAAAAGTACAAAAAATAAAGGACATAAATGAAAACAAAAATTAAACCATTGATTCTGAATTAGCAAGTAATCAGAAAAGGAGACAAATTAAGAAAAAGTCAAATAGACAGTAAAGTACAAATACTAAAAGTGAAGGGGCACAAATGGAAAAGAAAATTACATGACAGTTGTCAGCTTCATCACACTGTTATTATATAATTAGTAAAAAGAGGCACGTTGCAATAAGATTTGAACTTCACTATCATCTTCATTGTCTATTAGGGAAACATTTGTATGACGCAAACAGCTAAGCTCTAATTATAATTGACAGTCATAATATATACATTATTTAATTTAACCACTTTTTGTTATGTCCTAAATAAGAGAAAATAATCGATAACAAGTAAGTAAAAAATATAAAAGATAAAAGGTATAAATAAACAAAAATTAAACTATTTTTTTTAAACTCTATGTAAAAGGAAAGTGTGGATAACAAGTAAGTAAAAAAAAATACGTGAAGAACATAAGTGGATACAAAAATTATACCATTTTTTCTTAAACTCTAAGTAAGAAAAAAAAATAAATAATAAGTGAAAGTACAAAAGATAAAGAGCATAAATGTATAAAAAAAAATAAAGGGTATAAAGGATCAATCTATCTATCCTTAGTATCTTTTCTTTTCATAAATGTACAATAATAAAATCTTCCATTTATTATGCGGCTCAAATATGAAATACTCTTTCCGCAACCTCTTTCAGACTTCAATCTCTCATGCCTCTTTCCCATCTATCACTTAAACTTAAAAACAAAAAAAGGGAAAAGAAAAAACAAGTTTGACGACCGGCGACTCAAATATAAATGAATCTTTTACGTATTATTAAGTGGTAACGAAATTTCCAAGCTGAAATTATAAACTTAAATACTTTAAATAAAAAAAGTCAATTTAATTATTTATGTCAATTAAAGTGCTAGAAGGATGAAATGAAATTATTAGGCACCTTTGAAACTTGTTGTAAAATGATTTTATTTTTGTATGAAAATGAAAATGAAAACGTTTTCAATCTCAGACATAAATTATTTTTGAAAATGTGTTTGGTAGTTTTATCAAGAGATTGTTTTCAGTATAAAAACCCTATTAATGTTTCTCTCTCTCTCTCTCTCTCTACTCGAGAGAGGAGAAAACGAAAATAAAAAATGAAAAATGACTAAAAGTCATTTTTCATTTCTCTCTCATTTTACACTAAACTGAAAAATCGTTTTATTTCTGTTTTTTGTCTTTATTGCGCCAAACGTTATTTTCACCTAGCCATCAAACAACAATCAAATGAAAAATAATAAAACAAAAAAAAAACTCAAATAAATAAAAAATCAATATGAGAAAATTCTAGAGGTTCGATTTCACCTAGCCATCAACTATACATGTTTAATGTCAATTTATTACAAATTAATTCTCCTAATTTATAAGCCAAGAACCTGATTGTATTTTATCTCCCTCTCTCGAGTGCTAAGTTAAATTTTTTCTAGAATCGATTTTAATATCTCTATTCAAATTCAAGACTTTAAGAATTAATCACACTCTATAGTTCTTATTAGAAGACTTCAAAGGAATTATAGGCAGCTCGAACTCTATAAAATCCTAGGCTATATCACCCAATAGTCGCATCTAAAATCCCCTCTCTCAAGTATCAGATTCTAAATACTTAAGCATCTAATCTATGGCGAGTAAATTAAAAGCATTAAGAACAGGATAATACAAATAAACTGAATGGAAATTTTCTTAAAATAAATCAACAATAAAAGACATAATATCATGCCAAAGCTACATCATTCCTCTAGAAAAAGAAAATTAAAACATAATGAAATAAATCAAAGGTTCCAACATCTTATATCACAAAAATATAAAGACAAAAAAAATTAGAAAGAAAAACTTATGCGGAAGTGTCACAATTCTCCATGCTTGACTCTCAAATCTTCAATCTCTAACTCTTGATCTTCAAGATATTTTCTCCCTTAAAAATAAAATTCTAAAACCTAAAAAACTAAAAATCAACCCCAAATTTTCCCAGAAGAATTTCCCAAATGCAGCTCTCTAACGGAGCTATTGTCTAAGTCTATGCGTGAATAATCAAGCACAATTAGGGGATGTTCTCTCTCAAATTGCCACTGAAGGGAGGCTTTTATATGGAGTAATCATGCAGCCATACTGCCTCCCTACACCTACTATGCTCTTTAACATAGTGGAAGTCCCGATACAGGATGATGGTACTATCCATTGGGCAGACACTCACCTAATGACGTAAAATTCTCAATCTCTGAGTGGAAGCCAACATCGCGTCGCTGCCGGTCTAACCAACTGATGCCAGAATCACTTTGATGCCAACTACCACAGTTGATGCTGAATCATTAATGGGGTTGATCTTGTTGGGAATGGTATCCTAAACGCATGCGATGTAATTAGGGATATTATTATTTATTTAATAAAAGAGAAATTTCATTATTTATGTGCATGTATTATTAAATACTTTATGGATATCATTGAAAATTTCACGATTATTTATGTGACCTTAAATATTGTATATAACTATTATATACTGGAGGATAATATTTAAGGATAATAATCAAAATAAGTCCACAATGAATTTAGTTAAAGTTCATAATCTTTAATTAAAAACTTATTATTACATTTCATTCCTATTAAGAATGAAACGAACTTATATGCATCCTTAATATGAAGAGATATCGAATGAGTGTATTTTAAATATGAGATTATGTAGGACTAGGACAAGACACGATATGAATTTATGATAATTTCTGTTAAGTATAGAAATTCTAATTGAATCTGCCGATGGTCATATATAAAATGATCTTAATGCTGAGTTATTAGTATACTCCTATTTATGGATTTGTGTCTTTTGACTTACTCATTATGGATTTTGAGATTGTAAAATCCTATTTCTCGTATCTTGGAGACATAATGAAGTGGGTAGGCGGGAATGCAGATATACGAGATGGAATCTGTTCCTTCGTGTATAAAGAAGTAGATAAATAATTTGCTTGAGGGTTGATTCGGTACTTGGATTAGTAAGAGCTTTGATTCATGAATTTGTTTTATAGACCACTATCCATTAGAGAATTAATGGTACTCAAGGATAAAGATGCAATTAGAAAGGTTAACGGATTTCACCTAACTCTAATTATGAAATATTTATGGAGGATCGATCCATATGTAGTGACTATATCAAATAGGCACTTCAAATGATAACCAATTATCTATTGCTTAGACTTTAAGATAAAGCAAAGAGTTCTCTTAAAATTCTATGAATATGAGACAATAAAGAATAAGATAACACAATTTTTTCTCCATTCCCTTATGAGATTGGCATGTAACATAGCAACACAGGCTATAACATTCTGTTTGATAGCATGTAACATTCTAGTGACAGCTGTGTAACCTGAGAGAAAAAAGAGAAGAAAAGTTCTTCTATTCTCGGTTCCACCTCATACAAGTATGGATAATGGTGGAAGAGAAAATTAGCAAGTGATCAATCCTATAATTCTAAAATTAGAGCCCACACTCTAGGTCTTGTAGGTATCAAGGACTAGACAAAAAAGGTTCATGCTTTCCTAGAAAGCTTGGAACGAGGATTGTTCATGGTCAAAGAACTCAAGTTATCGACCTAATTGTTCGCTATGTAATTAGATTAATTTATTCGCATATAAATTAATATATTCTATAGAGTCTTACAAAAGTTTTATGAAAATTTTTATTATATACGATCCGTAAATACACGCTTTTGCATCCGAAATCGTTTCAAAAACCAACAGATCCAACATCAACCAACTACTTAAACAATCTACCTCTACTAATTTATACTCATGAAACAAGTTCATCGGCCACCTGGTTCGATTAATCAATCGAGTTGACCCATCAACGAATGCGACTTTTCAATCGAGTTATCACCGGATCGACTTATTAGTCGAGTTGACCTATCAAAAGCAAGGACTCACCTAATATGTCTACAATACAATTTAACTCATCTAAATGAGCTGCCTTATCTATCGTATTTAACTCTTCAATCTAGTTGATTTGTCAATAAAACACAACTCATTCATCGAGTTGTTTCATCTATCATATTAAATTCTCCATCGAGTTAATCTGTCAAGCAATCCTATAAATAGCCTAAGTTGATTCATTTGGAAAGTAATTAATGTCTAACTCCAATTTAATTTGAATTTCAATTGGATAATATGTCCAACAAGTAACTGGTTAATTTGGAAAACAAGCAACTGAATCCTAGAGGGATTCTCTCCGCTATAGGCGTGTGATACTGAATGGTCCTACCACATGTATGTTCCAAAATTCAAATTAAGTAATCACATGATTTAATATCCAATCAATTCTCAATTAATTATTTCTGAGTAAAATAATTTAGAATTACATCATTCTAAATTCCTATTTTACCCTCAATGGCTAATAAAATTACAATGATGACGTGGGGACTCATAGGCTTATAATACAAGCTCTAATAAAATTAATGTTCAATCAAACTCTTTAATTAGTTAATTATTTAATCTTATTAATTACAAAGTTATTTCACTATAAACTTGAAATTGCACTATTGACATTATAGACATTTATTTACGTATGTGAAACATTTATTTGATATAGTCACTTCACATAGATCAATCTTCCATAAATAATTCATAATTAGAGCTAGGTGAAATCAGTTAACCTATCTAATTACATCTTTCTCCTTAAGTCCCATTGATTCTCAAATGAATTGTACATTCATAAAATAAATTCATGAATACGAGCTTGTTACAAATTCAAATACCGAATCAACACTCAAGAGAATTATTTATCTATTTTATTCTTAAGATCGATCGATTCCATATGATAATATTAACATTCCCGTTTATCTATTTCATCATGTCTCCAACATACAAGGAATAAGATTTAATTAGTAATCTCAAAGTCCATACCGAGTACGTCAAAAGACACGAATTCATAAATAGGAGTCTGCTAATAACTTGGGATTAAGATCATTATGTGTATGACCATCGGTAGATTCAATTAGAATTTCTATACTTAACGAAAATTATTAAAAATTCATATTGTGTATTGTCTGAGTCCTACATAATCCCATTATTTAAAATACCATCATTCAATAACTCTCTCCATATCAATGATGCGGATAAGCTCGTTCCATTCTTAATGGGAATGACATGTATTAATAATGTTTTAATTAAATATTCCAAACTTTAATTAAGTTCATTACAAACTTATTTCGATTATCATCCTTAAATATTATCCTATAGTACAACACTTATATACCATATTTAAGGTCACATAAATAATCACAGAATTTTCAATGATATTCATAAAGTATATAACAATACAAGCACATAAACAATAAAATTTCTACTTTTTTAAATAAATAATAAAATCTAAAATTGCAAATCATGCTATAAGGACACCAATTCCAATAATCTTCCACTTGTCCTAAAGCAAGTGTGACATGTCTCTAATCCCAAATGCATCCAAATGCTTATCAAATGCCTTTTGTGGTAATGTCTTCATTAACGGATCTACAAGGTTGTTCTCCGTCCCGATCTTCAGGACCGCTACATCGCCTCTCTCGACTATGTCTCTTATTAGGTGATACTTTAATTTTATATGCTTTGCACTCTTATGGCTCCTTTAGAATCTCAAAATGTATACTGAGTAAGTCAAAAGACACAAATCCATAAATATGAGTCTGTTAATAATTCATAATTAAGATCATTCCATATATGACCATTGGAAGACTCGATTTGAATTTCTATACTTAATGAAAATTAACAGAAATTCAAATTGTGCCTACATCCCGGTTCTACATAATCACATTATGTGCAGTACACTCATATAATACCTCTCTATATTATTAGTACGGATATCGCAGTTCCATTCTTAAAAGGAATGACATGTTGATGTGAAAATTGCAAGTTCACAATATTGCATACAAGTATTAAAGTGATGAATAAAGTATCCTTCCTACGAGAATAGTGTCAAATTTAATTAATTACCGAAATTGGTTAACTCTAGAATTATTTGAACCAAAAATAAAATAGAAAAATAATAAAACAAAATATAAAATGAAAACTCAAATAAAAATTTTTGTTATACACGAACTGTTTAATTACACGCTTCCGCATCTGAAATCGTTTCAAAAATTAACATAACATTGTGGGCTAAATCAGAAACAATCATAGAAAAATGAAACACCAAACCTATGCCTCTGATGAATTTGGACTTTCCCTCAACTTTTGTTTTTTCGTTTTGCTTTTATTTATTTTGTCCTCCTAGTACAAGCCTTGTGTGTGCAAGACACTAATGGAAAAAAATAATACTGTTTTCTATTTTCCTTTTCATTAGCTTAATTAATATCCATTAGTATTTTTTTAATGGCTCATTAGTATTAAATGTATTCTAATAATCAGATTTTTAGATTAAACTTAGATTCTAAATTGAAATTACATTTTAAAAGTGAGATTACAAAAATACCCTCACATTATGTAACGAAAGTTAATTTTTTGTTAAAATTGTAACAAAAAGAACATTTTTGTTAACGTTTCATATTTTAGGAGGCACGGATGTTATGTTTTGAAGTTCAAGAAACAAAGTGCTACAGGAGTCATAGTTCGGAGATAATTTTTATAATTAATCCTTTTTTATTAATTATCAATGCCAAATTTGACGGATTGCCAGTGTAAAGCAAAGAATAAAGCGGAGAAAGTAATGGAAATATACTAAATATGTAACAAAATAATAAATAAATGGATGACATTTTAATGTTCGAAATTAAGAGTAAAAAACATGTATATATATAAGATAATTTTAATATGTGCATGAAGAAATTGCTATCAATCATATTGATGATCTCCATCAAAAGGAAGTTGTTTCACACCCTAAACAAAGCTTAGATATTATTCCGAGAGCTAATAACACCCAAATATCACCTTAGAAGGAAACTAAAATATAACGAAACCCATAGAGCCATAATTCCATAATATGGCTCTATAGAAGCCACAAAACAAAACGATCGTGTGATAAAAATAACTACAAGAACATCCAATTGGAGATGACGCAGCTAATTCACAAATAAAAATTTGAGAGAGATCTATTTGCATTTATACTTTTGGAAAAAACGAACGGTATATTCCTTATTTATGAAGAACAAAATCCACCCCATATATATTTGTATTATTTACGTCCAATAATCCTCCATTATGTAGAAGTAGGGCTGATGATAATCAGTTTGTGAAAGCCAGACGTGAGATGTCATCCCCTCCAAAAGCAGCGTTAGAATTATGACACCAAGAATCGTCGTCAGTGATGAACTGCATCCACGAATCATCCTTGTCATCGTCCTGATCGACGCATAAGGACGATGCAGTTGGAATGTCCGGCGACATTTCCGACTCATTGATTACACCTTGCGACGAGCTCTCTATTTGGGATATACTGCATTGGCCTTGTTCTTCAATTTCAGAGCAGATGCCGTTCTTCTTAAACACTCGGCATAATGCATACGAATCCTGCAAGTCAAGCACTCTTTTTTCATTTCTTTTCATCTTTCATGTTTGAAAGGGATTTGTTGTGCGCAGTGTGTTTTTGAGCATTAAAATTGGGATGAAGATAGATGTCAAAACATTCTAAAATTATTAGTAAATGTTATAGAGACCGATATATTCCACAAAAGAGAAAACGGAGGAAGGAAAGAAAAAGGGAGGGAGAAAAACCGAAGACCAACAATAGTAGGTTTAAAAAGATATAGTTCGCCAAAGTCTAGATTATCTATAATATTGGGAAATACCCTAGTGTCTTTATTTCAAAAAAAAAAAACGTTGTGCTGTAGAAAATATGGCATGCAGAAAAAAAAAAAAAAGTAGAAAACTATGTTATATAATTGGATATCCAAGGACCAAAATTAGATAAAGTTGGTAGAGAAAGACAGTTTAAAGCTAGCTCATGATATTAAATTATGCATAAAAGTTAATTTGTTTGGACTTGAATGGTTGGTGGTCAAACTAGTCAATAATTGCGATTCACAGCGTGAGCGACATATCAAAAAGTAAGTATACGGATAATGTGATTTGTAAACATTAGCTTAAAGAAGACCCTTTTTCAGTTGGCCAGCCTATTAGTAATTTCAAGTTTTAATCGCTGAATTTAATTAAAATCACATTAAATTAAAAAATATATATATAACAAATAAATTTTAATGTATATATGACGGTTAAAAAGTAAATTATTATTAATAATTTATTTTTTTAAGGACTATTAGAGAAATTCTCTTAAAAAAACTAAAAAGAAATACATAGATGGGCTTATTTGTGGCATATTTGTGACTTTGGAATAAAGTAAAAAGTAGCCCCTAGACCTTCTTACACCCCAAAAGTGATGTGTATTTGCTTTTCTGTGGCTAAAAATACACTAAATTATATAAAGAATCTATGATTCAGATCGGAGAACAATAAACAAATAGATCTTAAGCTTTGAGTAAGAGATTTTAGTATTTGGAGGCATGGAACTTTTGTCTTATTAAGGGAAAAAGATAGAGATATAGAAACTCGTGACATGTCCCACAACTCTGACACTCAAGAGATCTAACACTGCTGCAAGCAACGAATATGCAACACTAATATTTGTTATTAATATTATAAGAGGAGTAAACAACACTAAAACCTAAAGGTATGACAATTCTGTTCATTGGAGAAATAATAACAACGTTGTAATATTAATTACATGATGCTAAAAGTCCAAACTAGCGCTAGAGAGTGAGACTTATTATTATCATTAGAGACTATTATTTTGGGTTAAGACTTTAATGATAGATTGCTTTTATTTGATGTTCCTTTAATTCCTTGAGAAGAGGGTGATTATAAACAGGACAACTAAAGGAAAAAAAAAAAAAAAAAAAAAAAAAAAAAAAAAAAAAAAAAAAAACATTTCGCTGCTCTATCTTCATCATACCTATTTTCATTTTCCGAAGCTTTTTTTTTTATAAATATTTTACCTATTTTTTTGCTTTTACTTGATCTAAAATCTAAATTTTTCCTTAACCCGATGTGTAAAGTAAATTAATACTCACTCCAAAAACACACAAAACAAAATGTAGTGACCTATAAATTAAATATGTATAATCCAAATAAATAAATTTATGAAGCACCAAATCTATAAAGTTTTCTTGACGTGTTTTCCTAATTAAGACGCAGACGCGATCCGTAATTTATTGTGCAGAATGAATATATATGTCCTGATCACGGAATTACAAAGATTTTCATGTAATGATCATAAGGGGAGAGAGAGAGAGATTGCATTACTTACGTACTTACATTTACCTGAATCCCAGAGCTATCTTCGCACTCCTTGTCATCAAGACGATACTCATGCATTACCCAATCGGTCCTAATCCCTTGCGGCGCACGTCCACGGTAGTAAACCAATGTCTTCTTCATCCCTATGGCTCGATTTTGACACGTCACTCTCCTGTCTTTGCCTGTTGACTTCCAATATCCAGCTTTCGTGGCCCTATTTGTTCTGAACCCATTAGGGCATTTTCTATCCCGGGGTCCAAAGAAGTACCACTCTGGATCTCTACTCGGCAAGAACGATTTTTCTGGTGAAACAAAAAGAGTTGAGTTTGGCTTCGAGCCACTTATGAATATTTATAAACACATGGACGAAGCAAGCTGATCGTGTGTTGAGATTTGATGGAATCTTCCAAACCCTTTTAATAGTTTCCTTAGAAAAGCAAAAAAATAAAAAAAATAAAAAGGGGGGCGAAAATGTAGAAATTTAATAACATATATAATTAACCTGCTAATTCCCATGGCTCGCATTTGTAGAGATCAACTTCGGGAATAATGTCGAGTTCAATCTCTTGGCCATTGATCTTCCTCTTGAGGTAGTAGTTGACAAGCTCTTCATCTGTCGGATGGAACCGAAAACCGGGAGGTAATCCGACCGGAGCCATCTGATTTCTTAATTTTCTCTTTTAGTTCCCAGACTGACTAGATAGCTGGTTGCTTCTTGATTTGTGAATAAGCTCTCTTATTCTTATTGCCTGCATCATCATATATACTAACAAAAAAGGAATAAGAGTCTCTTATCTTTGGGCCATTTTTCGCTTTCCCTTTTGCAGATTCTCAGACAAACGTTCTTCTTACTACATTCCATGTCTACTTCTGTTCCAAGTTTTTTTTTTTTCCTTACAAAATTTCTCAATAAACAAACACACGTGTTTTACGTATATATGATTAACCCATCAGATGCATGACCAATCCCGTATTTTATTTTTTGGGTAATTAGGATCTAGCTAGGGCAAGTTTTATCAACTATCAAAAAGGATCTCTTGTTTTTTTTTTTTTTTTTTAACATTTATTAAAGTATACTTCGTACATTTTTAATTGGCATAAAATGTCAACTTTATCCGTTTAGTACTGAAATTGATTTTAAATTAATAATTGAAAAATATATATTTAAACTAATTACAAAGCACATTTTTCTTTTTCTTTTTCTTTTTTTTTTTTTGGAGTAAAACATCTCAGCATAAGTGAAAAATGAATGAGTGAATTTAGTCAACAAATGCGATAATGTGATACTCGCTGATCAACAAATATAATTTAGCGATGACATGACTCATGGTCGCTAAAGGTTAAGCCTTTTAGCAACAATATTATCGTTGGTAGACGATAAATAGTTGCCCTTGCACTGACATCGCCAAACTACAAAGTGATGTGATACGATAAAACTTATTAGTGGCGACATATATTTTTCAGAATATGCTGTAACCGAATGAGTTTTTGCTCACTACAACAAACAGATGCTTCAATCATGACCAAAGTTGTTGCAATAAGCATGAAAGTCATTGTATAAAGACTTTAATGATAACAAGTCACCGCTAAAGCATTGTTGCTGAAATTTTGTTGCCAAATATTTTTAGCAACGTATTGTCACTAAGCTTTGTGACGACCGTTGTCGTTTTTAATTGTCCAACATATCTCCATTGATTATTTGCATCCTGACAGTTGGATGATGTAGCGGCATAAGATTTAGTTGGATGATGTATCTCCATTGTTAAATGTCTTCAATGTTTAAAAAATGATCGACCTTTATGACGAGTCTTGTCATTGCTAATTGAGTTTTGTTTTATTTTTAATTTTTTAAGAATTCGTTACATATATAATTTATACAATATCGAAATGTTTAACAAATAATATCCAAATGGATCATGATTTTCTATTTTCGTTTTCTCTATACTCAATTCTTACTCGTTTAATCTTTTCTTAGTCTATAGTCATTTATTTCCTCTTACGTTACAATTTTTAGCTTTTTCATTTATTTTTCCATTAATGGATCTCCTACTTCCTCTTAACTCTTAACTTTTTATGTGGTCATGTGTCACAATATAATTCAGCAGCACCGGTGTTGCCATTTACATTCAATCACCGTAGAATTAGTTTCGATGGTAATAGAGAAGAAATCTTGAAGGAGAAGTGAAGAGGCAGATTAGGAGTACCACTTTTTGTTTTGCGTTGAATCAAATGTGACTTTGTTTTCTTTTGTAAACCGGTTTCCTAACTTTTAACGTAATAATTACTCAGCAAATGATATCCTTCTGAGGCTTTGTCCATGGAGTATCTACTTTTGGTTTCTACTTTTGTTTTTTCTAGCCTTCCCTTTTATCCCTTTCCTCTTTATTTTTACAGTTTTCCAACGTCTTATTGCTATTTAAGTAAAGTGGACAAAAGTAGGGTTCTTATTTGACATCTCTCCTCATCTTTTCTGAATTTGTAAGCTACCAGTAATAAGTCCTCATAATTATTATATTTATAACTTAACTTTCCTTTTCTTTGTTTCTCAACGTTTTTATAATGTATACATAATTACACTTTTATTTAATCATTTTTACAGTTGGCTGTCAGACAGGATCAATTCGTCCTTCATTTTTATTTTAATTGACAAAAACAAAAAAGTAATTGTAAGGCCATTAAAAAAGTAAAAATATTCATATGCTATTACTAGATCTGAGCGCTTGCATGCTTTCAGTTAGGAAAGCACTTTTCTTTTATTAGATAATTTATTTATTTAGCATATAACTAATAAGTTGACATACAATATAATGCTGTGAAAATATTTTTAACAATTTCATTAACTCGCTAACTAGTCCCTCAAAGGCCATATCTAAAAATAAGAGAAAACCATTTGCTTGTTTTTAGTTAAAAAATATTATAAAAAAATAAATAAATAAATTGGTACTAGATTGAAGCCTTGACGCATATGTAACGCTTCCGAACTCAATAACCGCATACTTGGCCATGGGAAAATGACGGAAATAATTGCTTGAGCTCTAGAGAAAAATTGGCATATATATCATGGTATTTTGAGGGAAAAATTTAATCATAATTCGAAGAAGAAAAAGTCGTTCTATTTGTGAGTTTAGAACTCGCAGTGGGAAGGTGTAAGAGCTAGTGCCTAAAGAATAAAAATTAGACATTTTAGACTAATGCATGTCATTTATCAATATGTGTGATATTTACTTTTATTATTGTCGATTGTATGTTAAGTAAACCAACAGATTAAGACTATTAATACTAAATCGTAGATCGCGCGTACATAAGATTTATATACAAAAATATATAATTGTAAGATAATAGTCTAACTGTCTAAATGCATATTCTACACGATCTGTGAAATAAACATTAGAATATTTTTATGCGGACTTCCATTATCATAAAAATTCACTCTAATATGAATAAAAGAATGTTATGTAAGTAATTCTTTAATTATGCCAATAAGCTATAATTTTACATAAATGATAATGCCTAAGATCTTAGAACTAAATGATTTTCATGATTTAGGGCCTGTTCGGCAATGTAGTTTTTGAGTGAAAAACTCAAAAAAAGGTAATTCGAGTTACAACTTTATTCGAGTTCATGTTCTTTTAAGTTTGAACTCGAGTTTGAACTCGAGTTTAAACTTGAGTTTGGAACTAAAACTCGAGTTCAATTTTTCCCTTCAACTCGAGTTCAGAAACTCGAACCCAAGTTAATAAACAGTATTTTTTCCATTCTTAAAAATGCTATAACTTTTTCGTTTTAATTCTGATTGAGATAATTTTTTTTTCTATGCATTGACAACGGAAATACGAATAAAACTAGACCCATATACCCTATTAAAATTTTTCATCAACATTGAGTTTTTATTAAAATACTATCTAAAAATAAATTCAAGTTTTAACTTACTCAAACACAAACTCAAAAAAGATTCTTATCTCAAACCATAACTCAAATGTACACAACCAAACACAAACTCAAGTTACAATTTCAACTCAAGTTATAACTCAAACTCAACTCAAAATCTACACTCAAGTTAGGGAGAAAACGTGCCTTGATCTATGATGAATTCTTGAAGAGACCAAGGCCTCGTTCACTTCGCTGATTCGAGTTTAAAATTCGAGTTGAGATGTGATTTTATGTGAGAGCTTTTTACTGTAGCAAAAAAGTTAGATGTGATTGTTTGTGAGAGCTTTTTACTGTAGAAAAACTCAAATTCTAAACTCGAATCAGCGAAGTGAACGGGGCCCAAATGGATCGCACGAAAATTTTAAAAGAAACTGTGTTTCTCTCCCCTAACCCTCTCTCTAACGTACATACCGATGAAACTCAATACGTTAATTTATAGGTGGAGAAAGGACCAATTATCTAATTTCGTCTTCCATCAAAGAGCCATTAATTTAGAAAAACTACCATTTCTCTAATTGACCAATAGGGTTTACCTTTTATTATTTTATTAACCATTGCATCAAACTTCCTTAATTGGAAATATCCATAAATACACACGGGGCACTTAATGAAAAATCTTACATTATCCCACTTGGCCCATGTGACATTACTTGACTTCAAGGTTCAAAAATAATAAAACAAACATAATGCGCATAGTATCGATAAATCCTTTCTTATATTAGTCACATCATAAATCATAATTAAGCAAAAGACTAATGCAAGTCATGGCGTACATCACTTATCTTGACATAGTCCCTTCTATGTACTACAACAGTAGCTCTCACTTAACATGACCTGTAAATGAGAATTATAATAATGGTTCAACCGTAATGTCTCCTCAGAAACAAATCCTGTTAATATTCTCATAATTCATTCATGTATATACTAACATAATGCAACAGGATTCACTAAAATATCAAATACAATATTTGATTAATCTCAGAGTGTCAAATAGATAAGGAACATAAAACATCATCATAACATCAATTATAGTTTTCAATGATGCCCATTCTTTTGACATGTTCATTAAATGTCTTTGGTGGCAACCTTTTGTCAACGGATCCGCAACCATGAGATTGGTGTTAATGTGTTCGATTGACACTCTTTGTTTCTGAATTTCTTCTTTAACGGCAAAGTATTTTAATTCCATGTGTTTAGCATTTTTGAATACTTGTCATTTTTTGAGAAGAAGACTACTGCGGAGTTATCACAATAAATTTTCAGCACTGTCGACAAATCCAAGTCCTAAAATAAAGTTTCATAGCCATAAACTATGAACAGTGTCCTCAAAGCATGCCACAAACTGAAATAAAGTGTCGTGTTTGGATTTTATATTTTAACACGAATAATAAATGGCTCATGTTGTAAAAGCATGACATATGTTCTATCAATTGTGCAATGTAATCAACATGTTTCAAAATATACCAAGTTTCATATGATGGTAGAATATAACTACCCCGACAAGTGACAACAACCTTCTCGTTTACTCATTTTTCTATTATACCTTTTCAGTTTATTTGAAGGACACTCTTATAATAGGATCTGTTATATTACTCCACCTGTAAGAATTATTATTTTAACTCTTGTATTAATTTGCAATGATTTAGTCTGCTGGTGTATCTACAATAAAATTTTACACCGCGCCATATAAAATTGCTCTTATATACTCGCAGAATATTAAACTGTTGAAAAACTAATATAATAGCTAAAATAATTTCTACCAATACAGTAAAATAGTAATTCCTATTATAAAAGTTCTCCCATTTGAAGTAATCTTAAACTTATAGAACCATGATAATATATCCCCTAAAAAAATTATGACATAGAACTTTAAATGTATATATAAATATGAGTTATTATATGTGTACATTTGCTTTAGTGTAGCGAATTCTGCTGAAGGCATGGTTTTCCAAAGATTTGGTAGAGCAGTAAATAAGCAGTCCCTCGACGATCAAGAGAACATTCCGCAAGGAAGAGAAATATGAAATTGCATCTTCATCTGCTATATATTTCTAGGTTTCTTCTGTACCATATCTTTGAAGAAAGTACTTGACGCCCCAATATTCATGTAAAACAGGAAAAAAAAATGTTGTTAACAAAGATGATTATATATCATATTTATGCAGATATAAAGATAGTACCAAATAATGCTAATTTGAATGACATTTTTCACAATTTTTTTAATGTCCATAAGATTTTTTCATGATAGGATTTGACGTCAGAAATATTCATTGTAGTAAGCTTACCTTAATTAATTATAGCATCATAAGCTTAATTACTAGAAAATATGGTACTATCAAATACGAATACTGTACATATAGATAGACATACATATATACATGATATCATATAAATATATATATGTATATATTTGCATGCATATTGTTACAAAGATGTTTGATATATACTAGCTATAGCTGTCTCTTTGTGATCAATTTATTTCGAAAGAGATATTTGTATATGCATGTTTTATACATATGTGAATGTATCTCTTACCTGCAATTTTGTGGAACACTCCATGAAGAATGTGAGTTGATATTTGGTTGTTTTGACGTAAACCTTCTCCAATCTTGAAGCAAAATAGTAAGATCGTTGATTTTCTTATTAAGACCAACACAACAATTTGCATGCATTGTACAAACCAAGTTAAGATCCCGACTTGGCTGACAAAACCCTCCAAAGTAAGCTGTATCTAAAAATCTCATTTTTAGTCCAATCTTTCCAATGACTGGAGAAAACTTTATCTCGTTAAGTACATCTTGGTCATGTAGCCCTGGATAAGCCCTTCTTGATAAATACCAAAACTTGTAAAACTTAATCGTCCGATCATTTGATTTCGCGTAAGTAAATCCTCCATTTGGTGGGTTGTGTGGATCGTGGGAATTTCCATTGTAGTAATCACATGCAATTTGAAAATCTCCTTCTTGGAAAAAACGTTGAAATGGATCTCGTAGCCACATTATATCAGCATCCTGTTTATTTAATTTTCAGAAATAATTTTCAGGAATATAATTTTATATCAGTATAATTGTCAGATCATTATATCAGTATCCTGGTAAAAATGAGGTTAAGTAGAAATATAATTTTCAGAAAAAACTCGTATGATGAGGCATTTGACTTGTTACAATATAATTGGTAAATGATTTTCCAGTTAGTTATATGTGCATATCTTGTTTAGTCAATTTGTTAATTTAATAAGAGAAATAGAGGGAATAACAGTTTTTGTGCATGCATTCAATAAAGAATGCTGATAAATTATAGCATATCATCAATTTTCACTCTAAACTAAATTGTTATTTTCCAAATTTATCCCTTATTTTAGGGTATTCTCTTTATCCCGCAAATGCCCATCCCTGACAAGCTTCTCTATCTGATCTCAGAGTTGGAAGCAATATCGAGTATTATGATCGGTGTCCCGATAAAAGTTGCAGTATTTGTTCAAATTTCTTTTCGACTTATCTGTCTTGATGGGCGCCGGGTTACTGAGAAGCCCTCTACCCTTAATTTGTTCATAGACTTGGTTAATGATGGGAGTGAATCGTTTGAACTTCCCAGCCAGCGTTTTGGGTTGTTATAAGCAGGAAT